TTTCCCTTCCTTCCAACATGTGCCCAAGCAATCTCCACTTTCTTCAGCAATTCTGGGTCTTCTCCTTTTTTGAAAAACATAGGTTCGACCTCCTTGGCCATGGGTGGACGCTTCATGGCATAACCTAATTGGAGAAGAGAGAGTACTGGATTGTAGTTGATAACCCCTTTTGTTCCCATGAGCGGAACATTAGAGAAACCTGCACAGTGATAGATGACTTCGGAGCTATCCACCTTAAGTTTGTACCATTGGATATCGAAAGAGGTGAGTGTCATCACTTTGGATGCCCATGAACGAGGATCTTCTTTGAATGGCCCTTTGGTGGGTAAATGTGCCATGAACCATTTGTAAAGCATAGGTGTACAACATACCACTACTCCTTTCTTCCCATGCCTGGAGTGGATGGCGTGATAAGTATCTGCTAATAGCGTGGGTATAGGATTCTTATTCATGAAGACGCAAAGAGAATCCAAGTCTATGATTTCTTTAATCTCAGGGAATAAGAGAACTCTGTAAATGATGGCAGCCAACATAGCATAATAAGTATCCCAATTTCCCACGTTCGCCATTTCCTTAGCCTTACTTGCCAAGAAATCTACAGGAAGACCATAAGTGACTTTGTTACGTCTCCATTTCCCTTTTACACCGTTAAGGCTCAAATAAAGAACCTTAGCAATAGCCTCAAAGTCAGGCTCAATAGGGATTCGAACAAATGGAACATGATTGGTGAGCTTAATATGGAGAAGATGAGCATACTCCTCAAGAGTAGGTGCTAACTGGTAGTCTTGAAATGTGAAGTAACGCAACTCCGGATCATAAAATTGTAACAAAGTCTGTACAGCCTTATCGTCAACCTGAGCGTCCAATAAATATAGGAGATTCCCATATCTTTCACCAAAAATGCCCATTTATCGACAATTCATGAGGTCTCTGAGCTCTTCAAGAGAGGGCCAAATACAAGGAAGAAACTGATAGTTGAAGTTATCCCTCTTTGTCTTTAGGATGATATCAATGTTGTTTGCCATTCTTTAGAGGAAAAGGAAACCCTGGAGAGATCCTGGAAATGACAATGTGCATGCGAATTAATTATCGACATATATATTTTTTGAAAAGTAAATATGCTATGATATGTGTGCAAATGATCATGGGGTTACTACTTCCATGATACTGATTCCTATTGTACTGCCTCTTCACATTCTGTTAATACCGAGATTACAGGTCTGAAACATAACCGGAAGAAATCCATGAAGATCATAGTTGGATTCTCAGAAAATAAATCTGCGAAACTCATAATTATTGGCAGAAATCCAGGATATAACCAGAAGTAACCATCTGAATATAGTCACCAACTGTACCTGTGATAAAATTTCCCTTCCCTCTCGCGGGTGAAGACGAGGTTAGGGTGAGATAATGGTAACTCGAAAATCACGGGTCCGCCTGAAAGTGCTATGGGCTTACCCACAGACGTGGGTGCCGATAGTAATTCATTTGAACCTCATCCGAGCATGGTATATGACATGACTGCACTAATCGGACCACGTCCTATAGCCGTCATGCCCCCACTCTATTCCTAGTTGTCCTAGTGCACTCTGGCCTGGGTACTGGGCCTTTTACCTCAATAGTAACATTCCCACCCAAACAAGAAGCAGATCCAATACAACAGCAGTATATGGAAGACAATAAAGTGCATTGCATACTTATGCTCAAGTATGTACAAAATGAGTGAATAAACTGAAAGCATAAAAATAAACACCCAAAGAAAAGAAAGCAAGAGCTAGGATCGACTCTGGGATGGACCAGCATTTGGTCGACCATTCCACAGTGAAGTCTCTAGCTGAAACAACCGGCTGAAAATCATCAAACAATGAATTCGCCATCGAACGTCTTTTATCCCACGTGTAGGGAAAGGTAAACATCGAGAAAACCTGAGAAGGGAGAAGTCACGGTCTTGCGACCGAAAGATCGGGTAAGGGAGTTTGTTATGCGAGGGGAAGGTAATAGCACCCCCACACGCCCGTAGTACTCTATGGTGTCCACTCTTATTATCTATCTTATGGGTGTGTTTAATCTATGCTTACTGTTTATTATTGTTGAGGGAGTAATGCATGCAAAATAAAGAGAAAAGAATGTAGGGAAAATAAAAGTTGTGCTCGTTCGGGCCCTACCCCGATGCCTACGTATCCCTTTTAAGGAATCAGAGCAGCCGTAGTTCGGCTTATATGTTTTTTTGTTGGTTTGTATTTTTTAATGAACAGTATTAATTTCTCCTTCTGCCGCAACTCGACCTTTGGAGACTTACGCGTCAGCACAGAAGTGAATTAACATGCTCTTTTGAAAAGGTTTTGGAAAAAAAGGTGCTTGGGCGCACAAAAAGGTTTGAATTGGTTTGTGTTTTTGTTGAACAATATTAATTTCGCCTTCTTCTGCAACTCGACCTTTGGAGACTTACGCGTCAGCACAGAAGTGAATTAATATGCTCTTTTGAAAAGAGTTTGAAAGGAAAGCCCAAAGGCAAAATAAGTTTTGTGTTTGTTGGTATTTTTGCTTGTGGATAATAGCTAGTTAATCTCAAGAGAGAGATTTTAGTCATTTCTCCACTTATTCATGAAATGATTCTTTGAGACTTGAACCATGCCAAGGCTTAGAATGGAAAAACGATAAGATCGAGAAGAGACCCGCTTATCATCTCCCATGTTCAACAAAGGAACGATTCTCGTCAGTAATTTTTAGTATTTTGAAGTTTGAAAAGGAAAAAAGTGTTAGTTTTAGTGCAAATGCAAAAGGGGAAGAAAAGTCACAGGGAGACTAGCCTATTTCTAAACCTAATGTTATTATACTTCACACAATCTCTAGGAAGCGATAAATGCATGGTGAAAGTAAAGAGAAAATATACCAAACGAGTACTAGCCCGTAGAGCAAAGCAAAAAGCAAAGAAACCCGATGATCTCGTGAGCTGCTAGCATTAATAAAGAAAAGAGTTAGAAATCAAATGCCCAGAATAAGTTTTGACGCATCATCGATTATGAAAATGAATCACAGTCAAAGTCTCAAGCGCATCTGCATAATAAACCTGCATAAGGCTCAAATTTCAATAAGCCATGGTGAATTACAAATCTCAAATAATCGGATGATCCCGATTTAATTCCTAAAAATCAAAATCAAAATCTAACAAATTTTATTGAATTTTATTATTTTTATTATGTGAATAAAATTCAAACAAAACAATTATCACAATTATTTAAAAGAAATTACTAAGCTCAGGGGGTACGAACCAGTAATCCAGGGGTTTGCTGAAGAAATTAGGCGCTAGGCCCAATCTGCAATGTCTAATAACCAATTTTTTTATTGGTCATGGTCCAGAATGTTTTTTTTTGTTTACTATATCCAAAAACGCAACAATAGGCTTCAGGGATACATGTAGCAATGGCCCAACGAATTATACATTCGGTCCATAAATCCAACCAAACTTAGATTTCTATGTCATTTGATTAAAAGTAAATATAAAAAAAATTAAAAGAATAATTGAGAAAACAATTGAAACACTGCATTCTAAACCAATTGTGACGTTCCAGATCATACATCAATTTAGACTTCTCCTCATGTTCTTTTTCTCTCGCATGGGCGATCTCCGGAGAGAGCTCCTCCGGCGGCAGAGTGATCCTAAACTACACTAAACCACTACAAATAACGACCTATTCTCCTTCTCTTTTACGCCTTGGCCTCATATTCTTCCTCCTACTTCTCAAATCTAAACAAATCCTAAAAACCTAAGCCCTAAAAAGTAAAATAAAAACATGAAGGTTGACGATCTTGACACTAGACCTTAGGGAAAATACTCCTAGCACACCATACTATATCGTGGTGACAAGAAAAATGCTAAGAGAGGACGAGAAAGGAAGTTTCGAAGGCTTACCTACCGAAGTAATTCCAACGATTCTTCGAGATTGATGGAACAAGAACAGAAACCTAGCTCCAAGCTGCTATATCCAAGTATTAATCTCCTTAACTCTTAAATCTTTTCTGTTTTGGTTTCAATTACAAAGACGATAATGATATTGTTATTTGTCGTGACAGTGTGCTGAAATTGTATAACGATTCGATAATGATGATGAAGTTGATTCGTTGTTGTTTGAGAATGCCCGTTACGGATCGATTGCATAAGATGATGGAAGAAGTTGTTGATGCGACTTCAGAGTTTGCAGAGATTTACGAAGGTTTGATTATGGAGATAAAGTAGAGAGATCAAAGAATGAGGGTGGAGGTTGAGGATGGAAGAGAGAGGGAGAGCTGGAAAAGTGATTTCTGAGACTCGTGGAAAATGGCGATTTTCTGAAAAAGAATTGAGAGAGTAAAGCTGAGTTATATAGCCGTTGAAGCTTGAAGGTAGTTAGATTGAGGAGCATTGAGAGCCCTTGGATTTGAAGGAGTTTGTTATGGAATGGAAGGTGGGGATTAAATCCGTTAAAGTCTGTTTTAAGGTTAGTTTTTCTGTTATATCACTGTTAGAGCTTGTTATGTGTGAGTAGATCCCAGCCCTAGGATCTTGAGAATTTTGTTAAGAGAAATATGTGGTGTGGATTAATCTGAGAACAGTTAGTTAGAAATAGGGAGGTTAGAAATTGGATTGTTATTCTGTTAGGTTTTAGTTACTCTTTATGTTATTAACTTTTAGAGATTAGGAAGTTGGTTAGAAAGTTATGTTATGAGTTAGGAATCGATTGAGAACTGTTAGAAATTCTGTTTGGAAAATGGTTGAAATATGTTAGTTATTTTTTCTGCTGGAAGTTTGTTGGTCGTTGAGTTAGAGGCAGTTATGTTATGTTGTTGGTTAGAAAACAGTTAAGATTTTCTATTGTAATTTCTGTTTAGAAACAGTTAGTAGGCTTTTAGACGTTGGGATTTGGTTTTGGTTAGAAACTCTGTTATACAGTGAGAGTTAGTTAGAAAACTGTTAGAAGTTAGTTATAACAGTTGAGATTTGGTTAGGGGTTGTTAATTAATTAGGAATTAACAGGAATTGGCACATTGTTTCCATTAGAAAACATATCAAAAGGAACAAGGGCATTTTGTTGAGACGTAGGAATGGCTTCCTGTTGTTCTCCTACAGGAACAAGAGCACGTGAATTATCTACTTTTGGTGAGTTAAACTCTTCACCACTGAGGAGATCCCATTTGGGATCAACCTTTACTGGAGGAGCTGAACCATTTGATGTAGTAGAGGGTGCAGGAAGCGTCAACTGATTCAATGTTTGAGACCCTGCTTCAGCATTTGCATCAGTTTGTATACCAGTATCTCCAGTATCAATCAAAGGACCATCAGCATCTACACGTGCTCCAGTAGGTGCTGAATTTGATTTCTCTGTTTGATTTTTTGACAGTAGGTTCTGCTGAAGCTATGGATTCATGTTTGGCAAGTATATGCTGCAGTTCATCATTAAGAGCTAGTCCTTGGCATAGTAGTGACTCATCCGAAGTTGAATTAACAAGGTGCACCACTCTCTGCTTGTATGTTCGACATTGCTCCACCAAATCAACAATAATTTCCTGCCGGAGCCCTTCTTTGTTACCAGGCTCTATAGCACTGAGCATTTCTGTAAGAACGTCCATAATACCACGTGCATTCTTAAAGTTTGATTTTCTTTGCCATGGATCGAAACAGGTATGAACCAATTTAACCAATTTGCTTCATGATTAAATTGGAAACCAGTTTGTCTGCATGTGTATTTATGTAAAATTGTTTGGTTAATTGACAGGGTATAGCTTATAATTATAAGAAGGCTTAAAATTGGAGTTCAAGGAAAATTCAAGAAGATGGCATGAGAGATTGAAAGCACGATTCAGAGAGTTTCAAAGCAAGCTAGGTACATGGGAAGCATCCTTGGACTTCAGGCAAGCTGTACAAAAGCTCAAACTCCATTGAAGTTGGCCACATTGTTGTATACAACTCAAGCTGAAACAGGTAAAACCATGGACTTCTATCTCTCTATCCAGACATGATTAAGCTTAGGTTTGTGAATGAAACGTGTTCTACTCATAGCCCTGAAGCCATTCATGTATTTACTTTTCATTTATATTAAGCATGCTGTGAGAATTTTGGCCATGAACATTGAAGAAAAATTAGGTCAGAAATTGGGGGTGAAGAAATTCTCCCTGGTTTCTTAGAGTTAGGTCAAGTATTTTATATGTTTGAATTCGTCTTTTGATGCTCTACATTATTGGTGTTATGAGTTTTTGTTAAAAGTCAAAGAATCAGGAGATGATGATTGCATAGGAGGCGCGCGCGTTTTCTGTTTGAACGTTGCTGGATGTTGAAGACAAAGCTGGCTTGGGCTGGGCCTGAGTCAGCTTGTTGTTTACACCCCTTTTTCCATTTACACCCCCCTGGCCCATTGTGTGAAATATTTATCATTTTTGACTTTTTCTTTTTGATTCTGACTTAATATTTTTTGCTCAAATATAAAAAATATAAAAAATATTTTTCCATACATTTTTGCATTTATTTGGCATTTATTTGTTTTATTTAGCATATATATGTAAATAAATATAATACCTTTTTATTTAAAACACTAAAAAATAATACAAAAATATATTTATTTTCAGTTGTTATTTTTCATTTACATTTTGAAAACATTTTCTAAAAATACACATTTTTGTAAATAATTAATATTTTATTTTTGTACATATTTAGCATTATTAAATATATATAATATATACTTATACATATTTTATTAAATATTTAGGACAAAAATATGAAAATAATACATTTTATTTTTATTAATATATGACATCAAAAATACCTTTTTAACCATATACTTTTTATTTGGTGCATAATCAATAAATAATAATGTTTATTCAAAAAACTAGGGTTTAACCCTAAAACCACAAAAATATTCAAATATTGACCTCTTTATTTTTGTTTATATTTTACATTGAAAAATACTTTCATATACATAAAAAATCATTTTGTGCATAATACATTTTGCATATTTATTGCATTTATTTTAATATTGTACAATTAAATACTTGTATATTCGATATGGATGTAATAGCTTAGAATTTAATTTCTTGTCAAATATCCCCAAATTCAAACTTGTACCCCCATCCCCATAATCATTGTTGTAATAGCTTAGCATTTAAATTTCCGCATTTAAAAGCTTTCAATTATGCCATGATAGACCTAGGGTTTGTATGCAAATAAAATAACAAATAGCTTGACCTAATTCAAGATAAGCACGCATGAAAAACAAACACAATGCACACTTGCACCCCTAGGGTTTCAATCCACTTGTTGCCTTCAAAAATGGGCCATGGTTGCATGTTAAGTGTCTTTGGCAAAACAAAAACAAATCAAATGATCATAGTCCCTCGATGAAGCTATCAAGTTGCATAAACAAAAATGATCAAGTCCCTTGAGAAAAATGTCAAAGATACTTGACACTATTGCCTCTATGGTCTAAACGATGACCCGCGCCCATCCTGTTAACATCCTAACACAAGATTGTCCACCAAATACAATGGTGGAACAATACTGTTAAAAGGGTTAAAACATAGGGAAGATCTTTGAGAAATTTAGGGTAGATAGCTCTTGGTTACTTGACCAAACTTGCAAAATAATCCTTGCCATTTTTCAAAACACACATCACAACACAACTTCAAAACAAAACTTTCAAAAACCTTGAAACATCTTTTCAAAAAGACAAACACCTTTGTAAAACATTCGAGTAAAGAATTGTTACAATGGTTGCCTAGACAAGGCATCTTTTTCAAAACATTTTCAAAACCACACACACAAAGCACCATTTCAAACAATTGAAAATGCAAGGAAAGTGATCTAAGCAAGTAAATAAGAGCCCATGGATAACCATGGATAGAAAGGGTGCTAATACCTTCCCTTTCTATAATCTACTCCCCGAACCCAAGAAAACATCTCAAAGTTTTTCCTGTGCTTTTTAACCTTTCCTTAGGATAAAATAAAAAGTCGGTGGCGACTCTTGCTAAACCGAAACATTTGCGAAAACAAACGCAAAACCTCAAGTCAGTTCTCCCACCGTATCACAGAACTGGCGACTCTGCTGGGGACAATTCTAAAAGTGGAGTAACCTTAGGGCTTAGATCACCTTTTGCATGACTAATTGTTTGCTTTGATTGCTTTACATTTTGGTTCTCTTGTTTGGGCTTGAAATCCTACACCCGGATTTGGGAAACATTCATAGGTAGCAATACATTGTGGAAACTATGCGGGGTATACCGACACGGTTGAAGCAATAGCTATATTAGTGCGACATATTTGTGAGTACCGGTAACCCTTGAGTTCAATCAAGGAGAGTACGGGGCCGCTGAGTGATGTCACTAAGCACTAATGACCTAGAACCTTACTCGACCATCTTGGCCTTTTATTAGGGGTAGTGAGATGACCGGCTTTGGTGCAGTCCGAAGTTGGTAGATACTCGATACTACACTCATTGAGGGTTGTTTTCTTGGAATATTTTGGTCACTAGTTAAGTGGCTAAACCAAAACAATGAACATGGAAAACAATCCAATGATATTGAGCTCCTTAGAACCCGGTTACTATTTAGGACAGGTTTTAAGCCAACTAAACTCAAGAGGGTACTTACCTATGAAACCTCATGCAAGCCTGAAACTAGGGTTTTGTGTGACTTGCTTGTACATGTGTTTGTGCATACATCATGAACATCATAGAGCATCATATGCATCCACTAACCATTTCAAGGGTTTGGATCTTCATCTTTGTTCTTGTTTTGTAGGTCATGGAAATTCTTCGCAGGAAAACTATCCAAGTCAACCTTGTGAGAATCCCTCTTCAACTCAAGGAGCTTACATCCAGAATTCCAGAAAGCTCTCTCTTCAGTAAAAGACATGGTAGACTGCTCAACCTAGTCAACACCAGTATTGAAGAAGACATGGTGAAAGTGTTGTTCCAGTTCTTTGACCCCCTTCACCACTGTTTCACATTCCCCGACTACCAATTGGTGCCTACTTTGGAGGAATTTTCTCAACTCCTGAGAATTCCTATTCTTAATCAACTACCCTACAACGGTACGGAAAAAGAACCAAAGCCTGAAGATGTTGCTCAAGCACTACACTTGCAACCATCTGACATCAAGGGGCATTGGGAGACTAGAAGTGGTGTCAAAGGCTTCTTGGCAAAATTCTTGTTTTAGAAGGCACAAGAGTGTTGGAATTCTTTGGATCTACAAGCCTTTGAAGAGATTGTGGCACTCCTTATTTATGGGTTGGTCTTGTTCCCAAATCCTGACCAACTTATAGATGTCAATGCTGTCAAGATTTTCCTATCCAAGAATCCCATACCTACATTACTTGGGGACATCCTCCACTCATTTTACACACGAACAATGAGGAAGAGAGGTGTTCTCATGTGATATACTCCTCTCCTTGCAAGGTGGTTTATTTCTCACCTTCCACAATTTGTTTTGAAGAATGAGCAAGGCCTAAGGTGGTCACAACGATTGATGACCCTCACACATTCTGACGTACATTGGTGTTCTCGGTCCAGAGAAAATGTCATCATCGTCGATCGTTGTGGTGAGTTCCCTAATGTTCCATTACTTGGCATTAGGGGAGGCATTACCTACAACCCTTGTCTAGCTTTGAGACAATTTGGATATGCACGGAGGGATGGCCCTCATGACATGCTGATTCCTGACCTAGTTTTTGACTTCGACAATGATGCGCAAGGACTTCGCCAAAGATTCATCAGAGCTTGGAGGATGCCTAACAAGGTAGATAGCAAGACACTGGGGCACAAGAACTCCATCCCTCTTGAGCCTTACCTCAAGTGGGTACGAACCCGAGCCCAGAGTCTTATGATGCCTTACCCTCATATTCTCCCTTTGATCAAAGAGCCTGTTAAGGAAGGAGAGGTTCCCTACACCATCCTACATCCTGACATGCCAACATCATGGGAGGAAATGCAGAAGAGTTGGATCCAACTCAAGGAAGAACGAAATAATTTTGAAGCCAGCTTCTACGCCAGTGAGAAGAAGGTTTTGGAGCTTACCCGGCGACTTCACGAGGAGGAGACCCTCAACTCTTACATCGCACCAAAGAGGATGCGCAACGTCTTTTTACCTTAAGAAGTTTTTTGTAATATTTGGCCCATGGGGCATTTATGTACTAACAAAATTTCTTCTTATTAATATGACGTGTGTTCTTTTTGTCTGCAACAATTTTGAATTTCTAAATCCTTGAATGCATTGCATGAATAAACATATCATTCATCATATGCATAAATAGGTCTTCACACCAGGTTTCCTTATCTTTCTACTGTTTATTTCAGTAAGATGGATCTTGAACAGACCGTCAAAGATCTGCAGGCACAAAACTCGCAGTTTCAACAGCTCCTTATGACCTTGGCAAAGGGTCAGGAGGATCTTAAAACACTGTTAGGGAATAAAGAGCAAGAAAAAGGAAAAAAGAAGAAGAAAAGAGTTGGGGTAGCTACACTGGGAAGAAGATTTGAGAATGAAGCTAGGAGAGTTCTTGATTTCCGCTCCACATCTGATGAGGGGACCGGTAAAGGAAAAGGAGTTGCACTACCCTCTGAATCCGAGGCTGAAGAGGAAGA